ATGTGTTCAGTGGAAGAGGTTCTAGTACTGTCACACTACAAGCCAGAGACACAAGGTAAGGATGCAAACAGGAGGGTTTATTGACAAATCGGAGAGCAAGTTGATGACAGGTGAGTATGAGAAGGTAGAGAGTTCTTGGGTTCTTAGCTCTGGGTATTGAGTTGGTATCCTTTGAAGGTATCCGGGGATGATGAGAATGGGATCGTAGGAGAACAGGATCAATGGAGCTTCTAGGGGGTAAGTAAACAAAGAGGTCAGACATAGGTAGGAGTCAGGCTAAGGTCAAGTTGTTGAACGGTAGACCGGACAGTGAGGCAGTGAGAGGAGTGCAGGGATATAGTGCGCTCAATGGGTCTCTACAGGTGTGGGTGATCAGTACTTAGGTGATTGCGATCTGGTGTGTGTAGGGGCTGGTGACTGAGGTGACATAGGTGACTGTGAAGGCAGAGACTCCCTGACATTACCCCATCCTCCAGGGGCGGCTCCTGACGCCCTCATGCGGCAACAAGGGTGGCCTCGACCTCGGGGTGCGGGAGGATTAGGATGGGTGCGGTGAAACTCCTCCAGCAATGGGTCTAGTATATCATCCTGGGCCACCCAGGACCTCTCCTCCGGTCCCAGTCGACTAGATATTCCAGCCGACCGCCCCGTCGCCACGAATCAAGAAGGTCCCTGACTTGTAAACGGAGGGCTGGTCCAGGATTTCAGGAGGAGGTACATCCGGCTCGGTGGGTCCTGTTGTGGAGGAAGAACAAGGTTTGAGGAGGGAAACTTGGAATGCAGGGTGAATTAGTTACCTGGGTGGAAGCTGGAGAAGGTAGGCGACTTCATTAAATCTGCCTCTGTATGGGGAATGGACCAATGTAGCGGGGACTCAGCTTGTTACAGGGCATGTGGAGGCGCAGATCTCGGGTGGACAGCCAGACCTTCTCTTCAGGCTGGTAAGTAGGAGAAGAAGTGCACTGGGCATCTGCGAAGGCCTTATGCCTCCACACTGCTTGTTGGAGGTGGACATGAGCCGAGTCCCACACTCTATCACTCGCCCGGAACCAGTAGTCCGCAGCTGGAACCTCCGAGGGCTCTTCTGTCCATGGGAAGAGCGGAGGTTGGTAGCAGAGTATGCACTGGAAGGGGGTCATGCCGGTGGTGTTCTGTCGGAGGGAGTTTTGTGCACACTCGGCCCAGGGGAGGAAACGGCTCCAGCTGTGCTGATCTTCATGGCAGTATGACCAGAGGTAATGCCCGAGCTCCTGGATCCTTCGCTCAGTCTGGCCGTTCGTCTGAGGATGGTACCCAGAGGACAAGCTCACGGTCACTCCCAGGAGTCAGAAGAAGGCTTTACATACACGGGAGATGAACTGGGGACCCAGGTCTGAGACGACATCTTCCGGGATGCCGTAGTTTCTGAAAACAAGCACTCTGCAGTTTCTACTGCTGTTGGCAGACCTTCGAGGGGTATAAATTTACAGGCCTTAGATAAATGGTTGACTATGACGAGGATACAGGCGTTTCCGTCAGAGATGGGTAGGTCAGTCACAAAATACACTCCAATGTGGGACCAGGGTCTCTGTGGTATGGGCAGCGGGACAAGCTTGCCTAAGGGAAGATGTCAAGGAGTTTGAGACATGGCACAGACTGAGTAGCTTCGGACGTACCTGGTGACATCCCGGGCCATACTGGGTCACCAGTACCGGGCTTGGAGGAGCGAGAGGGTCTGTTTGCTGCCTGGGTGTCCCGAGCCTGGTACTCTGTGAACTGAGCCCAGAAGGGTTTGACGTTGTGATGTTGGGCCTTCTGGGCCTCCCAGCGGAGCAGGCTTGGTGCGAGTGGCGTCAAGGATGTCTTTGGAGATGTTCCATTGAATGGGGCTGACTATCAGAGCTGGAGGGAGAATGGGTTCTGGTTCGGTTGGTGTGTCGGGAGAGTGCAGGCGTGATAGAGCATCGACTTTGCAGTTGCGATTTCCGGGATGGCAAGTGATAGTGAACTGGAACCAAGTAAAGAACAAATGCCCATCTGGCTTGACGGGGGTTGAGTCTTTTAGCATCTCTGAGATATTGCAGATTTTTATGGTCGGTGATTACAGTGAAGGGATGGTGGGCTGCCTCCAGCCAGTGACGTCACTCCTCCAGAGCTAATTTGATGGCGAGCAGTTCCCGGTTGCCGATGTCATAGTTCTGTGCCACTGGGGTCAGTTTTCTGGAAAATTAACCGCAAGGATGGAGGCTGGGAGGCTCACCATAGTGTTTCGGTGGTGGAGGTGTCCACTTCCACCACAAAGGGAGCTTGGGGGATCAGGATGACGAAGGATGGGGGCCGTGCTGAAGGCTTCCCTGAGCTGTTCGAAATGCTTCGTGGGCATTGGGGCTCCAGGACAGGGACTTGGGCTTTCCTCGGAGCAGGGAGGTAAGAGGAGCCGTGAGTATGCTGAAGTTCTTGATAAACTGTCGGTAGAAGTTTGCGAATCCAAGGAATCTTTGCAGGTCCTTAACAGTTACAACGCACTTCTCCAGTTTAAGGTAAAGGTGATGTTGTCGGAGCCTCTGGAGGACCTGCTTCACGTGGTGGCGATGTTCGGCCAGGTTCCGGGAATATATGAGGATATCATCAATGTAGACTATCACAAAGCAATGAAGGAACTCCCGGAACACCTCGTTCATGAAGCCTTGAAAGACTGACGGTGAGTTAGCTAGGCAATACGGCATGACCCGATATTCATAGTGGCCTGCGGGATTTATGAATGCCGTCTTCAACTCGTCGCCTTCCAGGATACGAACGAGGTTGTACGCGCCTCGCAGGTCCAACTTGGAGAAGATGTGGGCTCCACGGAGTTCCTCGAGGGCGGCTGGGACCAGGGGAAGTGGGTATGGCAGCTTTACCATCTGGGAGTTCAGCGTGCGATAATCAATACACGGCCTCAAGCCCCCATCCTTCTTGCCCACGAAGAAGCTTGAGGCAGCTGGTGAGGTGGATGGTTGGATGAATCCCTGTTTAAGAGCCTCCTGGATGTAATCCTCCATGGCCTTGCACTCCAGGATGGACAGAGGGTATACTCTACCCTTGGGGAGTTTCATCCTAGGCAGCAGGTCGATGGCACAGTCCCATGGCCGATGAGGTGGAAGGCGGGTGGCAGCCTGCTTACTAAAAACATCCTGGAACGCCATATAGTCAGATGGGACAGTGGGTGTTTCTTGAGGTTCCGGACTCTCAACTAGGGTGGAGGCAATTTGGGCTCAAACCGATAATCAATACACGGCCTCAAGCCCCCATCCTTCTTGCCCACGAAGAAGCTTGAGGCAGCTGGTGAGGTGGATGGTTGGATGAATCCCTGTTTAAGAGCCTCCTGGATGTAATCCTCCATGGCCTTGCACTCCAGGATGGACAGAGGGTATACTCTACCCTTGGGGAGTTTCATCCTAGGCAGCAGGTCGATGGCACAGTCCCATGGCCGATGAGGTGGAAGGCGGGTGGCAGCCTGCTTACTAAAAACATCCTGGAACGCCATATAGTCAGATGGGACAGTGGGTGTTTCTTGAGGTTTCGGACTTTCGACTAGGGTGGAGGCAACTTGGGCTCGAACTAGACACGCAGGCAGTGTGGGGATCACCACGAGACCATTTTGCCGGCACGTCTCGCTCCAGCGAGTAACCTCACAAGGTTCCCATCTGACCTCTGGAGAGTGGAGAGTGAGTCAGGGGCGTCCCAGGATGATAAGCGATAGTGAATCCCTCCAGTACCAGAAATGTGATGGTCTCGTCATGCAGACATCCAATCTTCAGCTTCATCTGCGGGGTTCGGTAGTTGACCCGCCCACACCCTAGAGGTTGTCCCTGAATGGTCTCGACTCGGAGCTCTTGGGCCTGACGTTGTTGGGGCAGATGGAGGCGGCTTACGAGGTTTCATGATATAAAATTGCCCGAAGAGCCTCAGAGCGAGTGAATCTGGTGGAATCCACATGCATGGGTTCTGGTACTGGGGGACCGCTGGTTGCTGCTGCAGGCTGGTTGATGGCTTCGTCAGGCTGGCAGGCTGACAACCATTGGGAGATGCGTGTAGCTCTTTGCAAGAAGCTCTCTAACCCTATAGTATCATCATAGATGGCCATTTGTGAGCGGATGCGAGGATTCAAGCGCTGCCGGTAGGCACTGAGGAGAACGGTTTCATTCCAGCCACTAGTCGCCGCTAGCGTCCGAAATTGCAAGGTGTATTCACTGGTGGTAGAAGAGCCTTGACGCAGCCACAGGAGTTGGTCTGGGACGGAGAGCATACCTGTAGCAGAGCCAAACACTTCCTTGAAATGATTAGTGAAAGCATCATATGAGTTGATTATGGCACTATTAGCATTCCATATTGCTCGTGCCCGCAACAGTGCTCTGCCAGTTAGCAGGGAAATCAAGAAGGCTACCTTCGAGCGTTCCGTGGAGAATTTCTGTGGCTGCATCTCGATAAACAATGCCACTTGGAGAAGGAAGCCGTCGCACACAGCTGCGCCATCAGCATAGCAAGCAGGAATGGCCATGGGACTTACTGAGGCAGATGGCAGAGTAGTGACTGGCGTGAGAGAGGCCCGAAGGGTGTGGACCAATTCCTCCAGTACCTCTGCGGGCGTGGGAACTCGGGGATCCATGGAGGTGTATGTCCTAGGTCCGGTCTTCTCTCCCACTACGAGCCAGAGACACAAGGTAAGGATGCAAACAGGAGGGTTTATTGGCAAATCGGAGAGAAAGTTGATGACAGGTGAGTAAGGTAGAGAGTTCGTGGGTTCTTAGCTCTGGGTATTGAGCTGGTATCCTTTGCAGGTATCCGGGGATGATGAGAACGGAATCATAGGAGAACAGGATCAATAGAGCTTCTAGGGGTAAGTAAACAAACAGGCCAGACATAGGTAGGAGTCAGGCTAAGTTCAAGCTGGTGAACAGTAGACCAGACAATGAGGCAGTGAGAGGAGTGCAGGGATATAGTGCGCTTAATGAGTCTCTGCAGGTGTGGGTGATCAGTACTCAGGTGATTGCGATCTGGTGTGTGTCAGGGCTGGTGACTGAGGTGACATAGGTGACTGTGAAGGCAGAGACTATCTGACAAGTACGATCTAGTTTTTAGAGGAGTTTGAGACCTAACCCAAATAGGACAGAGTTAATCAATACAATAATAATAATGATAATAATAATACATTTTCTAATGGGGGTTATGAAATATGTAAACAAATAAACATGACATGTGGGTAAATGACTGAAAATTGAAAATTGACGTAAAATTCTGGATAAATTTAGAATGATTTTTGTTTTTTATGTTTTGACAAAAGTCAAAGGTTGAGCAATGGTTTAAAAGTCAATCGTTTAACAGTCTAGCGGATTCATTGTCATTTAGGTATAATATTGCATGTGTGACTGAATTGAGATGGCAATCTGGCTATTTATATCCGAAACATAAAATGAGGGCTTTGTGAAATGAATAAATACAGATGCAAAGACTCACAGTGTACAGTGATATTAACAGGATGACTTTTCTCTCCAGATTCAGACTCACACCAGTACACTCCAGTGTCGTCTGTGAAGGTGTCTCTGATTGTACATGTAGATCCTGTTTGTGATCCCGACACTGATGATGGACAATCTTCCAGCCGCCAGCTGTCTCTGTATCTTCTCACTGTCCATCCAGTAGAGTTACTCTGGTCCTCACAGCTCAGAGAGAGAGAGACAGATGTGAAGTGTTGAGTTCTGCTGGGACTGACGATAAGAGAGACTGGAGGAGAAACACCTGAGAAGACAATTACAGCTATAATTCAGAAATCAAGTCAAGACAGTTTTATTGATATAACACTTTACACAATTAAATTGTTTCAAAACAGCTTTTCAGAAAAATATTCAAACTCTAATATCTGAAAATCCATAAGTCTTCACTGAGTATTTCTATTTAAACTTCATAAACAAAATTACACCTTAAAATATTTGTCATTATGCCATCAGCAAGCAAGCCAAAGACAACTGTGACAACCAACAAAAAAACTCATTAAGGTGTTACTATTGGAGAAAAAAAAAACTCTGGGGTCTGTTCTTCGTTGCCTGTACAGTGTGAACCTAGTGTTTATAGTTAGCTGAGTTTGCTGTGTATTAATTTACTAATTTAATTAGTAGGCAGATACTAATCAAACTGTAAAATGATTGATTAAGTGTTTATATGGTCCATCCTATAAAATGTGCTGATGTGCACCTTGAGTGTCCTGTGTTGTTGATAAAGTGCCTCCTAGAATCAAGGTGTGGTCAATAACATAAATATTGAAAATACATTTTATAATGACAACACTATTTAATAAATAGGTCATTTTTATTACACCTATTTGATTATGTTCCCTCAAGTCTACTTATGTAAGCAACACTTTTGTGCCACAGTAGTTATGTTTTAGTTTTCCGTGACAATGTTCCACCATTAGAATTAAACATTTTACATGTTTGCCGCTAACCCAGGAATCAAGGTTTTGCTGGTTAGTTTGGTTTATTTAGGACCTGCTAGTAGATGCAGTAACTACACCTGACAGCAGAAGCATCTTTCTCCATTCACACAATTCAAAAGTAGTCATATATATTATGACAGGATAAAATTTCAAGACACATCAAGCTCTAAAAAGATCAAGAAACATTTCCAGAGTGTCTCACTCATTCTGTGGTTCAGTTCGAACTCACCAGTGACCCATATTAACTGTGTGTTGCTGTACCATGTGTCATGGGCTGGTTTTCCTCTCTCTGCTCTGCACACATAAACTCCTGTGTGTTTTAGAGCAGCAGAACTGACAGTGTAGTTTCCGCCAGCTCCTCTGCTGCTGTCTGAGAGCAGATCATAATGATTGCTGTTGCCTGTATGAAGTGAAAAAGTGCAGTTACTTCAAGAAATGAGCAGACATTTTTACATGAGTTTTATAAATTACCTTTGTTGGTATAATCAGTGTATTCAGATTGATTAAATATGATTAATATCTGTAATATTTTTCATGAAACCAGTTTATTCAGATGTTACTACATGATTGAAGCACATTATATCTTACCTGATGAGACAGTTACAGTGAACCAGCTGAATGTCCAGCCTGTAGAGGAACTGTAAACCTCACAGATCAGAGTAACTGGATCTCCTTCAGTCAACCACATCTGTGGAGAAACACTTAAAACTGCCTGGGCTTTATCTGAAATAGAGAAACCACTCATTAATACCATGTTAAATGTGTGTGTGTGTATGTGAAGTGATGATCAAACTCACCTGATACTGTCAGTGTAACTTCTTCACTGCGGTGTGATGTTCGTGATCCTTCTGTCTCTGCTCCATAACAGGAGTATTTACCTTTGTCAAACTCAGTAACAGAACTGAATGCGTGTTCCTGTAGTTCACTGAAAGCATTGCCTGAACCATCTTTATACCAGCCGTACTGCCAGCTAGTGACTCCTTCAGCAAATATGTCACATCTGAGAGTGACTGTCTCTCCTCTGAATACATGTTGAGCAGGTTTAATGGTTACTTTGGGTTTTGTTTTTTCTGTACAATAACAACAATTCACAATGAAAATAATGAGCTGCTTTTACTGTATGAACACAGTTACTTAACTGTAAAACACATGCTAAATCAGATGTGACTGAAGTGTTGTTCTCTATAGCTGTTATAGTCGTTAATAAAAGATCTGTCGATATACAATCATTGGGAATTTGGAAACATGAGTTGTGAAAGTTTTTCAACAATTTATGCAAAAGAAGATTTTGTCTCTCACGGTTTCGATTTTGATTTCACAGAGAATGTGTAATGCCAAGCCAGCAGAGGGAGCCCTCACCCGAGTACTGACTGTGTTCCACTCCCTCTGCTTCTTCTATGCCCATTTCCTGTTCTGACCACTATTTAATCAGATACTGAATGCTCACTCTTCATGAAGTATTGCCAGTTTCTGTGTATGATTCTGCCTGTTTATCGATTACTTGGATTATCCCCTTTGCTTTGGGTGCCTGATTGGACTGATGTTTGTGTTTAGACATATTGCCTGCCTGCTCACATTGCCTGTATGTTGACGGATCGGACTGCTCCTTAGGTTTTGACCCTCTGCCTGTCTTCACGTTCCTGTATGTTGAAACTGCTCTTAATAAACTCCCGCATATGGATTCTAACTCGGCCTCAGCATCCTCGTTACAGAGTGTAAGAAATATATCTGCTGCTTTTGATAGACTAATGTTTCACACCTCAGAATTGTAACATGAATAATTCAACTGGTTAAAAGGGTGCATTTATAACCATAATTAAATGCAAGTAAATGATCAACTCTCAGTTCGTTTGGAACAGTTAGAATCACTGGACCCACTTTATATTAAGTGGCCTTAACAACTATATACTTACATTTAAATTAATAATTTGGTACAATGCACGTTTTTACATTGTACTTATATTTGAAAAATACCTGCACGTAATTACATCTGCAATTAATTTCTGTAATTACATTTATAATTACACAGTTGACCAATCCCTTACACCATAACCCACCCTTAAACCTACCCATACCAACAAACCTGTCCCTAACCTTACCCGTATCCCACCTCAATAGCAGCAAAAGTGTTTTGCAATACAATATGAACACAATAAGTACATTGTACTTAATTTTTGATGTAAGTACATAGTAGTTAAGGCCACTTAATATAAAGTGGGGCCGAATCACTTGTATGTGATGAAAATATATGAATCAAATCTACTCACCTTCAGTTTGTCCGGAGTAGATGTTTGAAATCAGCACTAAAACACAAAGAGAAAAACTCATTACAATGTGAACAATGAACAGATAATTATACAGATGGGCAAATATTAAGCTATTGTGTGGGGACTGTATATGTGTCTATATTAACGTGAAAACATTGACTGGTATTTTATAGATTTGGTCACAGCAGAGAACTGTTTCAGGAACTTCAAGGCAACAGTCTGATCACGAGCAGAAGAATAAAGACAAACTCTTACTAACTGCGTACTAGTGAATATTACTACAACAGCGACAATAACTGCAAAACAAACCAACAGAACTGATTCAACACCATTATAAAGCACACAACCGAATGACTGAACAAACACTGATCTACAACACAACAGAGTGCATTTCTCTTTCACAAACAGCACTAACTGCACACTTCCTCTCTCACACTCATCCTTCAATCATATATCATGGACTAGAGCTGGATTTGAAACTCTGAGCAGCAAGAAATTACATAAATCTAGGAAAACTAAAACACTTGATCACTTACATAACATAATAGCTATTCCACTGAAATATACTTAGAGAAAATAATACTCACAGAGCACAAGAGGAAGTTGACCGAGCTCCATACTGACTGAATGATGACAGACGGTTAAAGAAAAAAGACTGTGTTAAAGACTCAAGACTTCCTGAAACCTGCAGTCAGATCTTTAGAAATATCACGACAGATTAAAGACATACAAATTTACCTCATGTGTTACAGAAGATCTTTTGATAATGTTGATAATCTTGTAACATGTTTTCAGAAAATTTCACACTGACTAACATGAAAGTTTTCTACAGAAATGTTGACATGACCCATTCAGTATTAAATTGAACAGCATTTATTTGCTATTATGAAAAGTTGTATTCTGGTGTGTGCCATGAACAAGGGAATATTTTAATGGCTATTTATTGTAATGGTGGTTTTAGCTGTATTTATGTAATTATATAACAATAAAACGAACAACTGCTGCTCTTCTCTCACTGGTTAGTGCTGTGCTGAAAGAGAACAAACCAAACCACAACTATGAGCTCATGTCTATCTCTTTCTATTCTATCAGGCTTCTGACACTGATATATTTGTACTTGTGAAAACAGTTTAATATTCATACACCAAGATGAGGGATGGGCATTGAAACAAATTTGATGATTGTGATTCCAGTTTATCTTAATGAATCCACCTTCTTAATTTGAGAAATTATTATTTGTTTTAATAATAGTTGTTTTAAGGAAGACATTCTTATTTTCAGCTCCCAGAAGTCTGTTCAATTGTGTAAAAAAGGTCATGAGACTTTTATTGTCATTTGAACAGTTTATTCATGGTGGAAAACTAAGCAGTGCAATTTGTGAGTTAATGTAGACTCCATTACAAAAGTACAATATAACATGACAACAATGCAGACTCCACTGGTCACTGCATGTTTCGCACTGTTGACTTATATTAGTGACACAGGTGGTAAAAACTGTAGCAAATCTGAAGAAAGCAACCATTATTAGATTTTGTTATATATTTTAGATATAGCTAACATCAGACATGTGTCAATATTTAAGATATTGACACATTAAGAGAGAATTAAGAGAGAATGATGTGAAAGAGGAAGTACAAGAGAAAGAATAAACAGCTTTTACAGTTTTTCTCGATTGCTAACACACTATAAGTGATTCATTTGGCCCAATTTTCCAAACCATTCATACAGTTCTCAAAACTTTTAACACATTTCACCTGTTTGCACACATGTTCCAATTTGCTCAGTGTTTTCTGCAAAACTCTACACAAAAACGCCATCATTTTGCACAGGTTTAACCATGTTCTCATTCAGAAAACACAAACACATAATATAATTAACTCAAGCTGTCACAAGCTGAACACAATCAACACACAATTATGCATGTGTTAACACTAAGTAGCAAAATTGATGACACACCCATCAGAATCTCATGTAATATAAAAAGGGCCACAGGTGATTATTTGCTTTGGAAAATGGACCCTAACCATGAAAAAACAGAAGTGGTGGAAGATAGAGAGGAAGGGGAAGAGGAAGGAACCAACCAAAGAACATTTGTTCCTGATGAAATATGGGCAACACTAGTTGACCATGTTCTTGTGCATGGGATGACCATGAGGGATGCTGGCCAACGAGTTCAGCCGAATGTGAGCAGATTCACAGTCACGTCTATCATTCGAACATTAGAAGAAAACGGGTACCTGGTATTTGCCAAAGACACTGTGCAGTAATCTACAGGGTTTTTAGATATACAGTTAAAATTTAGATGAAAGAACCTTCATTGTTCTTATGTGTACTCATAACTGTCAAATTGATTTGCTGCTCAGTATTAGTTGTTCTTATATGTAGCCTACTGTATTTTTGGAGGCAGACAACGTCTTTTGACAGAGGACCAAGAAACCGCAACTGTAAATATGGTCATTGTTAATAATGCAATTAGACTGCGTGAAAGTCAGAGAAGAATTATTGAAGATCAACATGCCTTCTCAGAAACTGATCGTGTAAGTATTTCTACAATTGACCAGATCCTGCATCATAACAGACTCTATGAATGAAACGGGTGCCTTTTGAAAGGAAATCAGCGAGTGCAGTATGTGCAGGTACTACAGTTTTTCTTTTCAACTGCTTCAACACAATTTCTGAAACCTGACAAACACCAGAACCACACACCAAATCTGCAAAACCATACGCTAATTTTTGGCCTTTGACTCCGATTTCAATTTTATAAAACACTTTTTGCAAAACACAACACACAATTGTCTATGTAACACACAAATATCTAACAGGAAGTATCTTGATTTTCTTTTTCAAACACAACCAATCAAAATGCCACACTAATTCATCAGCACCTCACACTAACTCCTCACATGTGCAAACTCTCATTGCTTTACTTAACACCAACCAATCATGGCTTTAGATTAGGCATTAAAATAAGCCAAAGGTCAAGTTATAGGTTTTGAACAAAGAATGTAAACAATGCAGACAGAGTAAGGGGAGTTGGAGGGAGAGCCAGAGGACGAGGCAGAGTTCGAGTTAGAGGAGGAGGATTTCAAAGAGGAGCAAATGGAGGAAGAGGACGAGTCAGACAGGGAAGAGGAGGAGGACAAAGACCAGGAACAAGAAGCGTAGTCTCTGATGAGATTAGGGCTACTATCATTGATCATGTGATCAACCATAGTCTAACAATGAGAGAGGCTGGACAGAGAGTCCAGCCTAATTTGAGTCGATTTACAGTGGTGGGTATAATTCAAACCTTTAGAAATGATAACAGGTATGTAACAATTTACTGTAATGTACATGTTCTAATGTACACATAATAGCTATTTCAGCATAACATACGGTATACTATAATACATATATTTTAGCCCCCATACATCCATTTACTGTAGTGCATTGCACAATTGGTCACAGTCTGGTGGGTTTTCATACTGTATAACAGTACAGCTCAATGTAAGAAGACATTCTGACTATATTGTATAAAATAGTATGTATTGTTACAATTTATGTCACACACTCACACTATTCTTGAATCTTCTACAGAGAAGCAAGGCACGGTTTCATGGTGGGCGAGGTCATAAGTTCACTGAAGAGCAAGAGACTGCTATCGTGAATTTGGTTTTGGCCAATAATGCTATAAGAATTCGTGAAATATGCAATCATATCCTTAATGATGCCACAATTTTTGCTAACATAAATGCTGTGAGCCCTCAACAATACATCGTGTCCTCCAGAGAAATCAACTGAGAATGGAACAGCTGTATAAGGTCCCATTTAAAAGGAAATGTGACCGAGTCAAGAACCTTCGACATGACTTTGTGGAGGTATGCATACAACACTTTCTCCAATATATCAGACTTTCACCTACCAAGTCAAGCTATTGGGTTGTGCATATACTGATCTACATGTTATTTTGTCTTTTACAGAGAATGAGATGGATGCCCATGCTATCATCCATGAATACATTTATGTGGATGAGGTAGGCTTCAATCTCCGCAAAACCAGAAGAATGGGGAGAAATGTCATTGGACAAAGGGCCATTGTCAATGTCCATGGACAACGTGGCGGAAACATTACAATGTGTGCTGCAATTACACAGAATGGTGTCCTGCACCATCATGCCAGACTTGGCCCCTATAACACTGATCATATCATACCTTTTCTGGATGCTGTTCATGATATGCTTGTTCAAGGTCTGCAGAATGAAGACCAGGCAAGATTTGTCATCATCTGGGGTAATGTCGGCTTTCATCGCGCCCATTAGGTCCAAAACTGGTTTGTTACTCATCCCCATTTTTCTGTTGTCTACCTGCCTCCATATTCACCATTTCTAAACCCTATAGAGGAATTTCTCCACATGGCGCTGGAAAGTGTATGATCGTCATCCCTATGTCAACATGTGCTACAGTATTTACAGTACAAAGAATTGTGAAAGTTCTCTCATCTGAAGTACTGCAATTGTAATGTGTAAGTAGTGTAAAAACCCTGTAGATGAGCCTGCAGCATTCCATGCACAAGAACATGGTCAACTATAGTGCTTTATATTTCATCAGCAACACATGACCTTTCACCTCATTGCCTTCATTTTTCTTTTATCCTCCTATTCCTCTTTGTTCCCCATGCACTACCAGGATTCATCTTCCAAAACACATAATGAGCTGTGCTCCTGTGCATAGCATCCTGAGATTCTGATCAGTTTTGCTACTGAATGTTCACACATGGATAAATGTGTGCTGTCTGAGTTCATTTTGTGATTCTTGAGGTAGTTATATTGTGTGTTTGGGTTTTCTAAATGAGAACATGGTTAAACCTGTGCAAAATGATGCCGTTCTTGTGTAGAGTTTTGCAGAAAACACTGAGCAAATTGGAACGTGTGTGCAAACAGGTGAAATGTGTTAAGTTTTGAGAAACGTGTCTTTGTTTCAAGAACTGTGTGAATGGTTTGGAAAATGGGGCTAAATTAATCAGTTATAGTGTGTTAGCAATCGAGAAAAACTGCAAAAGAGACAGACATGTAGATGTTTTTGAAAGATGTTTTCGCTTTTTTGGAGGGATGAATATTGTTGATATTATTCCATATGTATTACATAAAAATTGTTATACTTTACTATAGGTTAGGGGTGGATACTTTTATCAGTAGTTTATTATTCATGTAGCAATACATGTTGTTTTAGTGTTCATTAATAACCATTATAGACGATAACTTTGTATAGTGCTTATATAACATTTTTAGCATGACTTTGTAAAAAAAAAAAAAAAAAAAAAAACTACTATACTGAATGAAATAGCATAGATTTCATGGCTAGTGTTTGCATATTTCATTTAATTCTGTAACCTATTTGTGCTATTGTTACCATTGGGCTTGACTGGGCTACAGCCCAGGGGCCCCACCTTGTAGAGGGCCCCGCATTTACCCGTTTATGTTTGTTGGATTTGTTTAGTTATATGCCAGTCAGAAATTATTATGTAGCTGTATTGTGTAGCTGCTGTGCTTCTCGTCCAGTGTGCAACCCCCTTTAACAGCTTCCAACTACGACCTTCGAGGCCATAATCAAAGAGCATAAACGCATTTATGATTATTTCACATAG